GGGGTAAACATCTTATAACGTCTTGGAGCACGACTCAAAGCGTAATCGCATTATCGTCGGGGGAAGCAGAGTATTATGGACTAGTGAAAGGAGGATCAGTTGGTTTAGGACTTCAGGCAGTGCTGAGAGATTTTAACTTGGATGTTGAGATCACCCTGAAGAGTGACGCCACGGCTGCGATTGCCATTGCGAGCAGACGAGGCTTGGGGAAAGTGAGACATATTGAAGTGTGTCAACTGTGGTTACAGCAGAAGGTAAAGGAGGGAGTACTTCGCATCGTGAAAGTAGGAACACACGAGAACACAGCCGATGCATTAACCAAGTATGTCAGTCGTGAGAGCATGAGCGCACACCTACGAAACACGAATCAATGTGCATTAACAGGTAGACATGGTCTTGCGCCAGCTACCGAATGTCGATATTCGCAGCTCATTTCTGTCAAGCAAGCTGCAGCGATTAAAGCCTTCTCCACCCATTACCTCTTACTCTTGGGCGTGAACGAAAGCATGGCGGCTCCTCAGGTCAACCTCACCATCAACGGCTCCATGGTCGACCAGAGCCCGCCTGGGAATGGGCCGGTTACGCGTGAGAACCTCAGCCGCCGTGTTGACGACATCGTCCACGTTGCTCACGCGTTTACCGTGACCCTCACTAACATGGCGATTAACTTTCACGGGGCCTACGATAAACACGTTGACGAGGTGCAAAGGGCCGCCGATGACATGGCGAAGAGGATCGAGGACTTAACGCGGCAGAACGATGCGTTGATCCAGGCCAGTGACGACGTCAACGAGAATCTCAAGAGGGCGCAAGACGAGATTAACGCTCTGATGGCGACGATTACGGAGCTGAAAATCCAGAATCGTGACTCGGGGGTTAACACGGCGGAGAACGCGACCAAGTACAGGCGCATCAACGACAACATTGGTTACCTCCTGAACACCGCCAGGCGCCTTGCCGAGAACATCACGCCCCTGCAGGACTTCGAGGGCAAACGGGATGCGGCACTACGCATGTTGGTGGGAGTTACCGAGAGACTTGAAGGTTTACAGAGGTTCTTGAATGACCCAATCAGTTCCTCGGTTACCATCATCCCGCAGGTGCCTCCGCCGTTACCCGAGCTGCCCCCCACGGCAGCAATCGCCAAGGCGCCACCCACTGCCGTTACCGCGGCAGCCGAGGCTAGCCAGCCTCTGGCCCGAGCTTCCGCGGCCTCGGGCGCGCCCCCGGCTCAGGGCTTTACCGGCACCACACCCAAGACCGGAGGGTACGGTCGGTCCACGTCGCCGAATAAGATCCCTCAGTCAACGGCGCCGCAGCCTGTTTACAAGAAAGCACCCAAGGCCATGCATGAGCGTAAACGGGAATTGGAAGAGTTACTGCAGATCGGCATGAAGATGGATGAAGATCGTGCGCAGAGCAGTCAACGTGACGAAGCACCAAAAAGTCCTGCCCCTGTTGTGAACGCGAGGGCGCCCAAGCCGCCTCCTCCGGGCCTTGGCGAGTCAAGTGCATCGAGCAGCGCTAGCGGCATGAAGCCCCCGCCTCCGGAGCCCAAGAAGTTATCGGCCCAGCACATCCCGCCGCCGCAGCCTCAAGCTGTTAACCGCACGAACGACCAGCTTGCAGCATACTCTCGGAACATTGCCAGGGCTGTTTACCGCCCATTGTACCACGTCAACAGCCACATGCCCATGGTGAACGACAGGTGCGAGGACCACGACGTCAACTACAAGGCGGAACCCAACCCCAGGGAGGTAGTCGCATTAACGATGAAGACGCGCGACAATTGGCGCAGGTTTGAGGGCAACTTCGTCGGGCATGTGGCGAAGGCGGGATTAACGACTCCTGGCGGTCGGTCTATTCAGGGCAACACGGGGCGGGAGCTTAACGACTACGATGAAGTGTTCGTTGACATCTACGGCCAGCATGCTTACGGTTTCATCGGCTACTCCGTGTTGAAGGGCCCGAGCAGCTGGAGATCTCAGTTGACGGAGAAAGAGTTGGCCAAGCACGACGAGTGGGTTGACGCAGTGGGGCACGTACAGTCTTTGTTTGACGACGAATATGTACCCCCACTCCACGTTGACGATCTTCACTCGTCGTGGTTTGACGTTCACAGCTGCCCAGACACGCAGGTGTACGTCAACAAGGTGCCGGAGATGAACGAGAAGCAGCTTAACGGCCTTCTCTTAACGTGGGCAGGGATGCTACCCCACGGCGACCCCACTGTGGTCTCTGTTAAGCATCTGGTGGAAGACACTTATGGGCCGCACGGTTACATCTCGACTGGGGTTACCGTAATTCGGTTTGCGACGCCTGACCTGGCCAAGCTCTATTGCCGTTACATGAGCGGGCTCCAGGTGCATTACCGCAACTACTTCATCGAGGACCTCGAGGTCAGGAGCGCCGAGGAGTTAAAGGGCAGCATCAACAGGCCTCCAGTCTACTGGCACCAGACCATCCTAGATGTCGCTCTTAACGATCAGGGGTCCATGAGGGCACTTTACCGTGACAATTGGCCTGCTGATCATATCACCGAGCGTAAAAGCGACCATCGTGAGAAGCTCTGCTGGTTTGGATGGTTACCGTGCGACGACTTCCCCAACTGGCTTACCGATCCGACCTGGACTGTGAACCCGTTTACCGGCGCTGCGGTCGAGGAGCACCTCCGCAACAATCCAGGTGGTAAACCTTTGTTGAAGGCCCCCCACGCCAGTTACTGGAGGGCCATCGGCACCTACCACAACATTGTTGACGGGTCCATCAAGAGCTTTGACGAGGGGTGCTGGCTCGATTACGAGGAGCGGATTAACGCGTACCTGGACACCGACTATTACAGCCCGACGCAGGCCCTTAACAGGGCGTCGTCCTACACAGCGGCTAGTGTGGGGCCTCGTGGGTTACCGAGGTCCAGGGGCGCACGCACCCCGTCAGTGAGGCGCCCGCGCCGCTCGTAAACGGTGACCAGTGACCGGCATGCTGTTCTTTTACGCTCTGCCTCATCTCCCCTCTCAGCTCGGCTTAACAATCGTGTTGCAGTGGCTTTTTGAGCTGAATCTGTGCGCATGTGCATCTTTTGTAGTTACCGCAGGTATTGGCGAATAAAAAGCGAAAGCGATCAAAATCATATAAATGTTAGCCTGCCATGTAAGCATTGGATGCTACGTTTAAACTTGCAACCGCAAGAACGTTTACTTGAGCTCATGTTGCATGTCTGAGAAACGTGGTGCTCGTAAACGTTGTCACGAGATCTTTCGAATTCGGCATTATAACGATTTGCGTGCAGCATGTTGCTTAGTTTAACTTGTCTTTGCGTTTACAGACACCTCCCCGTCAGCCAGTACGGACTGGCGTCCGAGGGGGGGTGTTAACGTGCAAGCGTTCAGGTGACTGGGGAGGAATAATAACCCTGTTGCCTTTGGCTCAAGTGTTTAACGGCTGAAGCTACCAAGACCTGCTTCGCCGTGCGGGAGTATAAAGGTGACCTATCATCATCATTGTTACCAGGCCCCCGCGCAGAACCCTCCTCGGGGTTTTGCGGGAGGAGGAGGAGGAGGAGGGGGAGGAGGAGGAGGAGGAGGAGGAGAAGGAGGAGGAGAGGGAGGAGGAGGATAGGGAGGAGGAGAGGAAGGAGGAGGAGGAGGAGGAGGAGGAGGAGGAGGAGGTCGCCGCGGGTTCCAGGAGGCCGCCCCCTTGAGGAGGGAAGGCGGCCACAGATCCTCGGCCCTGGTCTTCGAGGGATGAGGCGGGGGGAGGACGCCTGGGAGGAGGAGGGCGACGACCAGTGCAAACCCGAGACGTGTCGTGCTCTCCTTCCTTCCTGCTCTGCTGCATCCTCTCTCTCGCTCGCTTTCCTGCCTCTCTCCGTGCTGCTCTCGCCTCTTTCTCTTTCCCCCCTGCCGCTTGTTTCCCTCTCCCTGCTTTTGCTGCTGCTGTCCATTGTTGTGCTGTCTTTGTAATTCCTTTCCGGGTTGTTGCTTCCATGGAGTGGAGGTGCGGCTCTTGCCGGTTGGACATTCCAGCGTGTACGGCTCCTGGGGTTTGGGGCTTCGTTGCGGGGGGGGGGGGGGGAAGCAAACCCGAGACGTGTCGACGATGCCGCCACAAAGCCTCCCTCCAAGCTCCCTCGTACGTGCAATAATTTCTTCGCATTGTGGGAATGGGCACATCAGAAGACAGCTGTATGAGGATCCTCGGTCGTGCTAAAACACTACTCCTGGGACTTCAACGCCGCGAATCAATGCGACTGAAACCAAACCGCGAATCATCTTGACTGTTGCGTCCTGACATTCCCGAGTCGTGCCAGAACACCGTTCCTGGGGCCGAATCCATGAAACTGCTGCAAGCCTTTAAGACGAATGTGCGCGGCGCTGAGGCGAGAACCGCATTTTGAAAACGGCCCGCCATCCATCCATCAAACGGTTGCAAACTTTTAAGACGATTGTGCGCGGCACTAAGTCGAAAATCACATTTGGAAAGCTGCCCGCCCTCCATCCGTCAAACTCTTGTGAATGTTTCAGACGAGTGTGCGCTGCGCTGAGACGAGAGTCACGTTTTGAAAAGGAACCTCCCTCCATCCGTCAAACTGTTGCGAACTTGTAAGACGAATGTTCGCGGCGTTGAGCCGAGACCCAAAGTTTGGACAGGACTTGCTTTTTAACCTTGGAACACCGCTGCGAACTGTTTAAGTCGAATCTGCGCAGCACTCAGGTGAGAGCCACATTTTTGAGAACGACACGCTCTCCATTCGTGAACCTGTTGCAAATTTCGAGCGTCACGATCATGAACGGTGAAGACGTCTCAGGCGAAACGCCTGGCCCGCTTTACCGACAAGTCTGCGGGTGCGACATGGAGGATTTATTCACAAGGAAGGGGTGGAGGACGAGAGTGAGGCGGACGAGGACGAGGCGGATGAGAAGGGCGAGCATGAGGAGGACGAGCACTACGAGGAGGAGGAGGAGGAGGAGGAGGAGGAGGAGGAGGAGGAGGACCGGAAGGCCGCGACGCGCACGAACTGGGCCAACTTGCTCTACCGCGCGAACCATCACCTGCACCGGACCTCTGTGGGTGGGGGGCGGGGGTCGGGGCTTCGCAGATGGGGGGCTATCCAAAGGTGGGGCTGGGGAGCGAGCCCAGCTGGATGCTCATGTTTCCGTCTTCCATGGGCCGTTCAGAGCGATTTTCCTCCCAACCCCACCTCCAGCCCCTACCCCACCTTTACGTGCCCCCGAGGGGGGTGGGTGCGCAGGCGGCGCATCGCGGGCCAGCGCCGGCCCTGTGGCCAGTGCAGCCCCAGGCTTGGCATCGGCGAGCATTGAGCCGAGGCAAGGAGGGATCGAGGAGAGTCGAGGATCGCAGGAAGAGGAGGAGGAGGAGGAGGAGGACCAGTGTAAAACCAGGAGTCATCAACGATATTGGAATAGACCCTCCCTCCAAGCTCTCTCTTCATAAGCCCCTGCAGCGGCTCATTTTCAGAGAGGGAACTGCCTCGTTGGAGCCCAACCGTTTGAAGACCCTGAAGCATGCCAAAAAATTGTTCTCGGGATCCTCACGCCACGATAAACCTGATTGTTGCGACTTGACGACCCAAAATCGTGCCAGACCGCCATTCCTTGAATTTCAACGTCGCGAATCAACGTAATTGTTGCGCCCTCATAATCTTGAATCCTTCCAAAACACCCCTTCTGGTAAGTTGATCATGGGGATCCATGAAACTCTGTGCGCGTAGCTAAGGCGTCAGCCACATTTTGAAAAGGAACCGCCCTCAATCCGTGAACCTCTTGCATATTTTAAGAACGCATGTACGGCGCGGCGTTAAGGCGAGAGCCAGATTTTGAAAAGGAACCTCCCTCAATCCGTGAAGCTCTTGTAAATGTTTAAAGCAAGTGCACGCGGCGCTAAGGCGAGAGCCACATTTTGAAAGCGGGTCGCCCTCAATCCGTGGATGTCTTGTGCATGCTTGAAACAAATGTGCGCGGCGCTAAGGTGAAAGCCACATTTTGAAAACCACCCGCCCTCCATATGTGAAGCTGTGGCTAATGTTTAAGCTTCAGTATCATACATGATGAGGAAATCGTAGGCGAAACACCCGGCCCGCCCTAAGATCTGGCCTCGGGGTGCGACAGGGAGAAGTTATAAGGAGAAGGAATGGAGGAGGAGGAGGAGGAGGAGGAGCAGGAGGAGGAGGAGGAGGAGAAGGAGGGGGAGGGGGGGGGCGAGGTCGAGTTTCGAGGAGCGGGGGGCGAGGACGACGAGGGTCGAGCATCGTGAGCAAGATCGAGCTAGAGGAGGATCGAGCCTCGAAGATCGAAGTGGCGTGGCGACTGTAAAAGTATCCTCCAGAGGCATTCGGGGACCTGTGGGGACTTCTCGGGAGGATCTCTGGGGACTTCCAGGGGGAGGGTTCCGAGCCAGGTAGCGAAGCACATGGGCAGCTGTGCAGCTCCGTGGTCGATTGCGCCGCACGGCGGCCGTCCAGGCTTCTGCTGGCATCGCCAGAGCAGCTCGGAGAGCACCCAGGACAAGGTCCAGCTGGAGTTCTCCAGTGCGGGGAGGGGCCTCCGGGGACGACCGCCCCCCCCCCGCATGGGGCGTTGCAAAGAGGGGCCCTGCCTTCGAGGCTCGAGGGAATTGCCATCTCTTCCGCAGCGGAAGGCGGCGGAAGGTCGGCAGAAAGTCGGCGGAAGCAAAGCGAGGCCGCCTCCGCCGGCGGGAGGGCGGCGGAAGGTGGCGGAAGTAAAACATGCACCCTCAAGAGATGAAAACATGTTTGGGGTTCAGGGTCTCCGAAGTCCGCCACATGGAGGGGGTCTCCGGGGCCGCGGACGACCCCCCTTCACGTTGGAGAGATCATCGGTGACGATCATGCGCATTGTCCTAGCACGCTCCCCCTGCGTGCCATCACAACTCATTGGGCACATTGGATCAGACTGTCTTGGCCTGCTGCGGGGACGCGCCCCCACAAGCGTCGAGGAAGGCGATTGGGCGGCTACATGCCGTAATTACACGGTGCTCGTCTGTTTTCTGGTTGATTATCGTATCCAATCATACAGTGGAGATCCATGCCAAGAAACACCCTGCTCGCCTCCAGGGTGCCTTTGGTTTCCTTTGGGTTTTAACGGTTTGTCTATGGGAAGCGTGACTTTCCCACACCAAAAATCAACGGACGTCCTGGGGGCTCAGGGTTGGATTTCTTGTGGGAGCTTTCATGTGGACTGGCCTCCACTGAATCCAATCATACATCATTGCCGGTGCAGCAGAATCAGTCTGCCCGGCGGTCGGCGGACGAGCGCGGATTTCCTCGAAGTTTTTTGCGAGAACCGCGTTTGGAGGCCATCGACTTCGGAAAGCCCGCGCTCCTGGAGCCATGCCATCTGCAGCGCATGCTGTGCGGCAAACGTCCGGCTGTCTGCCCACACGGTTCGCATGTTTGCGTCTTCCGATGTTCAGGAGGGAAAAAACACAGACACAACCAATCGTCGATCCCCAGAGCATATGGGAAACTACGGGAAGTGGGGGGAGAAGGCGAACACCCCAGACGTATGGAAGCATATGGGGGCTCCTTTTGTTTGTGTGTATTCATCTGTGTGTCCCCGGGCCCCTTGAGGTGTGCTGTTCGGGATTGGGAACCCCCAAACCGGGTGGTGAGATACCAGGTGGCGACCTGGAATCCCAGAAAAGGTCACCGCTGGGTTTGGGGACACGGGGTCACCACCGGGTTTTGCGACTCCTGGACCCACCAGTGTTCGTGACATCCTCGGAAAACCGCACGAGTCCCCAAACCGGGTGGTGACACCAAATCGCCCGAGACTCACCGCCAGGTGTTGTCACCACCACGTTTGGGGACTACCAATCGGGAGCACGGGGCCGGGTGGGCTCCGACGTGCTTCTTTGTCCGTGCCTGCGGGGAGGCCCTGCCGCCGCGGCCGGGAGCCCGCCCGCAGGCCACGGGTCCGGGGAACGACTCCGAGGAGCAGGGGCCCCGACGTCGGGCGTTGTGGAAACTCCTCCTCCTCCTCCTCCTCCTCCTCCTCCTCCTCCTCCTCCCTGCCTCCTCCTCCTCCCCCTCCCTCCTCCTCCTCCTCCTCCTCCTCCTCCTCCTCCTCCCTCCTCCGTAGCCATTTTGGCTCAAGATGTTTTCGCCCCGTGGCAGAGCACGGAGACCCTTGGTCCAGGGACAGCTAAGGACTTGCTTTCATATCCTCGCCTTCCTGCTGCCCAGCAGGTCGAGCTTCATATCTGGTGCTGCATTCGCCTGCAGTCTCCTCCACGCGCACATCGGTGGATTGCCACCAGAGGCTGGCGCGGGCCTCAGTTCGCGGACGTCGGCAGAATGGGTCCCCCCGTCGACTGCTTGGCCAGCGCTGCATCGACCCCCAGAGACGGAGCCACTGACCCAGTCAAGCGACAACAAGACCCATGGCATGACAGCGCATCCAAACTCGCAGTTCACGACCTCCCAGCACATGTTCGAAAGCAGCTTGAGGAGACCATGGCCGCCCAGATCAAAGACGCCACCGAAAAGTTCGAGGCCACAGCCAAGGCAGTCACAGCAAAGGCCAGCTCAGAGTTCCTCGCCTCACTCACGCAGATCACATCCGACCTCAGCAGACGCCACGAAGCTACAGAACGAGACATCACCGCAGTCAAGCTCCGCACCAATGCCCTGGAAGAGCAGAACTCCGAGCTCAAGGCCGCCGTTGCCAAACTCGAATCCATCATCACAGCAGCAGAAGCACGCGCTCCCGCCCTCAACCTGGACGGCCTGGGCAGCTGGGACCGCGACCCCGACATCACCACCTTCTGATGCAGCAGTCCGCAGGAGTTCAGTCAGCAACATCTGGAAAAAGCTCTCACCCCATGGTTCCAGGCCGCCAACATCAAGAAGAACATGGTTATATTCAACACGGTCGGCCCCGCCAAGCGCCATTCGTTTCAGGTCAGCGGGGGCACAGTGGTTGCGGAACCTCGGGCACAACGTCTTCATAATGCTCTGCGTAATGGACAGGATTGGCGCACATTCACTCTCGATTTTGGTAATGACAAATACGTTCCTCTATATGTTTCTGCCGACAAGAGCCCGAAGGCCGTCCGCACGGAGGTCCAGATCAAGCGCCTCGCCAAGATCATACAGAACTTCAAGCCAGACCTCGATGCGCGCACACACAGAACCCTGGGCTACATATCGTGCCGCGGTGAAGCTTTTGTTCGCCTTATTGTTGGCAGCAATGCTGATGTTCCTACTAAGCTCCAGTGGTCACAGGCCGCCAACAAGCATGGAATGTCCGAAGACGACCAGAAGCAGATCGCCGCCGAGTTCATCAGCAACTTCGCAGACCCCCTTTCTGCCGCACAGTGGCTTTAGCCTTCGGTGGAGCCCATGGCTCCTGAAGCCCTCGCAGGAGGGCCTGAACATCGCATTCTGGAATTCGCAAGCGCTTCTCGGACAGTCCGCTCTACGTCGCGCCGACAAACGACAGCAACTTTTACCATACTTTCGCCAACGAGCTCTTATCGCAGTGCAAGGGACTCATGGAACTCTGGATGACCTAAAGCTGCTGGCGAACTCTACCCAGCATCGGTACAAAGCTTTCCACTCGCCCGTGATGGTCAACGGCGCGCCCGTGACTTGCGCGGGCGGCATGCGCTTCCTCGTCCCCTACGACAAGGCAGAGCTTCTACTTCCTCCAGACGAACGGCCTCAGCTCAGGTTTGAGGTCGTCATGCCTGGCCGTGCCGCGTGGCTTCGGACCGCGGATGCCAGCCTCCAGCACGAAGTCACCGTCCTCAACATTCACAACTTCGGCTTGACTCCAGCAGATCGGTTTCTCTTACGTGACCATTGGCACGCTCTTCGCCATCATGCTGACGAAGTCCCTCAGCAGCGGCTTCTTGTCATCGTCGGCGACTTCAACGTCTCCGAGTTCCCGCCACGTTCGAACAACGCGCCTGTCGACTCAGACACCACAGCATCACAGCGTTATCAGTACCAACCAGTCTTCTGGCGCAACCTGTTCCGCGACGTCATCGAGATTGTGACTCCCTCGACGACGCATAGATCGGAGGCTAACAAGAATGAGTCTACTATTGACCGCTGCTTCATCAACCTGCCTAGCCACCTCATGCCTTTCATGGAAACTGTCTTCATCGCCGACGACGCCCCCCTCGAGAACCCCAAGGGCCCCGTCAGCGACCATAAGATCATGCACTTGCGCATCCGTCTCCGCAAGCCCAAGAAGGTCACCGAGCGCGGCATCCCCGCGTACATCTTCGACACCGACCACTACAAGCACCACATCGCCAGAGTGCTCGCCGCGGTCGACATGTCCCCTCTCACTCCCACTGCGCGCTGGAGAGCCTTGAAGGCAGCCATGAGAGTTGCCGCTGCCAGAGCCCGCGACACGCTTCTCAAGATCCCAGCCGCCGAGCTATCATCACAAAGTGGGACCGTCAGAAAGGAGACCAGGGCCATGACTCTACGCAGCATCGCCAGAGCTGTATGGTACCAGAACACCCCCCTCGCCCATACGCTGATCGACAACACCGACATCGGCAAACTGCACCTGAAGATTGACGGTCGCACCGCCAGCATCAACGACATGCACGACTTCTCCTCGACCACCGACGCCACGCACGCGAGCCTCAGTGACGAGCGCAAGGCCCTCTCTGCAGCACGCTCGCGAGCCGCTTTCGCCGCCAACAATGTCCAGCTCGGTCAGAAGTGGCGCCAGCGAGCCAAACGTGAAGGCCCCCGTGGCGAGCTCTGGAAGCCATTCTCCAAGCGGCTCGTCCTGGCGGGCGTCAAGATCATCGCGGGCGGCGTCACCAACATCGTCACCGACCCCGCGACGATGCACCAGGCCATCATGCGCCATTGGGCCCCCGTCTCTGCTGCAAAGCATGTTTCTGACGACGCCATCTCCAACCTACCTCGACTCGATCTTCCCCAGACGCGCACTCACCCACCTCGACCTACCTGACGCCCAAGCTCTCGAGAAGGCTGATCGCCTGGCTGGCGACTCCGCACCAGGACCCGACACACTTCCTTACAAAGCATGGTTGCGTACTCCCGACAGCTTCGACATCCTCGCCGACTTCTGCCGTGACATCGCCACCAGACGCGCACCGCCTCACGACCTCAACTACTCCCTCATGGCCATGCTTCCGAAGGGCGACGAGCCCTGCGACAATGCTGAGTGCACCCGCGCTCCAGAGTGCCTACGCCCGCTCTCAATGAAGAACTCGGATGTGAAGCTGATGGCGTCCGCCGCCAATCGACAGCTTCACGCCCTCGCAACCGAGACGTCTCCCGAGCAGCAGGGATTCGTCAATGGCCGCCAGTTTTTGCGCAACGTCGTCGTGGTGGATGCCGCTGCTCGACGTCATAGTCTTTCACCTAATGCAGCTACTGACAAGCCCGTCTTCGCCAGCATGGACATCGCGGCCGCCTTCCCCAGCCCCGGCCACCACTGGATGTGGAATGTTCTCCAGCGGTGGGGCATGCATGGTCACATGCTTCACCTGCTTCAGGCTTGCTACCACTGGCCTGTATCCTACCTGGACCTGGGCGGTGCACGCCGCCCCCTCTTGATCGCAGCGTCAGGAGTTGCTCAGGGCTGTCCGTTAAGCGGTGCGATCTGGGCACTCGTCTTTGACCCAGTCATCAGAGCCCTCACCAGCGAGCTCTCAGCCATCGAGCGCGGTCTGGTTAGCGCATGTGCTGACGACCTCGGCATCATCCTCGCGAGGCTAGCGGACATCAGCAAGCTCGCGCCGCACATCATCGCGGCGGAGACTCTCGCGGGCCTGTGCCTCCAGGCCAAGAAATGCATCGTGGCCCCGACCTGGACGCTGCCCACTCAGGACAACATTGCGGAGATACGCCAAGTACTTGCTACCGCCCACGCTCCCTGGGCCGCCTTCAAGGCTGAGTCCAGCGCCAGATGCCTCGGCTTCTTCATCGGCCCTGGCGCCACTCATGACGACCAATGGCGAGGCCCTGCTGTCAAGTGGTGGGACCGCATCGAGAAGCTCGCCGCGTCACACGCCCCTATCCAGCAGAGCATCAAACTGTACAACGTCGCTGCCGTCACGGTCCTTGGATACGTAGGCCAGCTATCCGAACCCTCGGCGGGCATCCTCCAGAAGGAGCTGCAGGCGTTCCACAAGTTGCTGCGCGTTGCCCCGTCCAGCTTCGCGAAGTCCGACATCCTCGCGATGTCTCTCTGGACCAAGGCTGAGGTCCCCATTGGCATCGAGAACTATCTGGCGGCCACCATGTGGCGCACAGCCACCTCCACGGTGGCAGATTGGCGCGGCGCATTCAACGCGCTCTGCGACACCGCGTACGAGCAGCTCCCCCTCGTCACAGTGCAGCGCGGCCACTGGCGCAGCGAGTGCTGGTCCATCAAGTCTTCCATCGCCCAACGGCTCGAGCACATCATCAACTCCACCTTCTTCCCCGACTGCAAGGGCTCCCACTTAAAGAGGCTGACCCGCACAGCTGGCCCCCTTCCTCGCGCCCGAGCCGCTATGATTGGCATCCACAAGCGAGCCGCTCGTGCTGGAAGGCAGGCCCTCCGACAGCAGCAACAAGATCCGCATCGCCGCCGAACCACACAGATCACGCCGCAGAAGGCCTATATGACGTCCCTCAACGAGCAGCTCTACACCGACACGATGGCTGACACCATAAAGCGGCGTCTCCTGTCCTGGTTCCCGTCCCTTGACCCTGCGAAGCCGCTCACGAGAGAGCCGCTCAGCGGGCCTCGCCGAAATGCCGAAATCGTTCAAGAACGTCTTGCCGACCGAGCTCGCGCATGGGCCGCCCACTGGCTTCCCGACATCCTGCTCAATGACCACACGATTGACAACCGCCTAGACTGGATGCAGTGGTGCACGGAGTACCTGTACGAGCTCCTCGGATCCGAGACCTTTCGCCCGCTTTATGCCACCTCCGCTCGCCGACGACAGATCGCCGCCGACATGTGTCAGCAGGCATGGGACAACAGCGGTACTGGCAGAATCCTCCTCGAACACCGTCTCTCAAGAACTCGGACCCGCTCAGATGAACCGAGCAGCCTGACTTCACTACATCAGCATGAAGCCGCCCAACATTGTGCCCGCCGCCGTTGGGTCGCCAACTTTCTCCCGTACCAGCTGCCCGACACCGACATCAGTGACGCCGACTCCCCCGACGGCGACGAAGACCCTCCAGATGACGAAGGCGAGCCGCCTGATCTTCTTCGTCTCCATCGGGTTCCCGATGACCTTCCTGCTCGTTGGAAACGCCTGCGCACCTACCTGGCTACGCAACCGCCTGCACGGATGTGGGCCACAGTGAAGGCCCTCGTGGGCGCATGGACCACCAGCTACCGCATGCATGTCATCCAGGACAAGCGCCCTTGCCACTTCGGGTGCAATCACCCGCTCGCCAAGGACAACATTCAGCACTACATGACGTGCGAACGCATGTGGCACCAGCTGAGCCTGCCTCGCGGCCAGCTGAGCGCCGACCTCCTCACGCGCATGGCGCTCCCCGAGCTGTCGCACCCGTTCGACGGCGAGAACGGCATCCCGAACTCCGCCACGCGCCTCGCCGTCGCGACGCGGGCGTGCCACGTCACCAAGGACCACCCCCTCCCGATCTCCTACCACAACCAGTACACTGCCTTCGCCGCCGCTCGCCGCGCCCTCCAGCTCCCGGCTGACCTGAGCGGAGGGGCGGGCGCGCCGCGGCTCGGCTAAGCGCGGACGAACCTTCCTTCAAGGTTACGTTCGCTCCTCCTCCCTCCCTCCCTCCCTCCCTCCCTCCCTCCCTCCCTCCTCCTCCTCCTCCTCCTCCTCCTCCTCCTCCTCCTCCTCCTCCTCCTCCTCCTCCTCCTCCTCCTCCTCCTCCCCCCGCGTTCCTTCCCTCCTGCGCTCCTCTCCATCCCCAAGGTCCCCCGTGGCGCATTGGGCCAGATTCGGGCCCCGAGCCCCTCGAGGCCCTCGCGGACCGATCTGGCCCGAGGGCTCCCGCAGAACGGTTCGGCTTTGCATCTTTTGGACCTCTCCTGTCCTGTGGTTGGCAGCCTCTTACTGTACTCCGACGTGGGTTTGACGCGAATGCGACATGAGTCCGGCTCGGATTCGACACGCGTTCGACACGGATTCGATACGTGTGTGACACGGATTGTTGGAGCGATTGGACAGACGAGGTCTTTTCAAGATGCAGCATCAAAGATTGGCTCGGGAGTTCCAGCCGTGAATTCCCATTGCATTTTTTCTTCGTTTCACGACGTGGGACGCCAGGGCACGCCATCATTGTTTCGCTACGGCTATGATATTTGCTGGTCCAGGGCCCAGGTCGGTCTGGCCAGGATCGGTGTCGGTGGATTTTCAGCGTCCTCCTTCCCAGGACC